TCTTAGTGAAGCCCAGAGTTTTATGCCTCTTGCTCCAAACACTGCCTATTTATTATTTATTTGTTAGATTTCAAAGGCACACTTGTTTATTTTTTAAAGGTTCACTTAGGTGACACAACAAGAATGATATAAGAAGACTTAAGCGGAAGCAAGATTATTCAGATAGGCCTTTGCAAAGATTCAGGCTAGAAATGATGGTGACTTAAAATTGAATACTATCATTGGAGAGAACGTTATCTATATTCTATATATATAAAAAGCCAGTGTTCCTAATGGCCGGAACGACCAAACGACCAGTTGCCATGAAGTGGCATTGACCACTTCTCGGTCCGCTCACAGGCGGGGGTGGGGCGAGACTGGTGACTGGCAAGCGGGCTGAACTGCTGACCTCTTGGTCCCTCGACCCAGCCCCTGACCCGCAGCCTCGATGGATCAGCAATGGTGAGTGGGGTAATCGGGGTGGGTGGCGGGAGGACTGGGCTGGCTGTCAGGACGTTGGGATCACCAGCTCATCCCTGGCTGCTTGGGGGCTCAGGCATGCGGGAAAGCAGGCGCTGGCAACTTCACTTCCATGTGCGTGCACCGGGCCAATCCCTGATGGAATGCACTGCCTGCTCAGGGCAGCCTCTGTCAGCGCCTCAAGTCCCAGCAGCAGTGGCAGCGGCAGCGGTGGTGGTGGTGGCGCCCGTGTGAGCAGCCCGAGCCGGCAGGCCCAGTGCATGTGCATGGAGGTGAAGTCTCCAGCGCCCGCTTTCCTGCAGGCCTGAGCCCCAGAGCAGCTGGGGATGAGCTGGTGATCCCAACGGCCTGACAGCCCAGTGGTGGAAGCGGCATTTGGCTTGGGGACTGGCGAGCGGGCAGAAAATGGCCCTGATCGCAGGAGGCTAGGCCTAGGGACCCTACCTGCACGATTTAATTGTGCGCTGGGCCTTTAGTTTAAAAATAAATTCTGTGCTATATAAACTGTAAGTGAAAAATCAATTTTAAAAAATGATAAAATTCATGCTAATAGTTGCAAAGATTTTGTGTGGTTGGGTGTGTCTCTGGCTTAGAGTGTTGACCATGTTTAGTAGAAAGAGAACTAATTAATATAGATGAAATTAGGTTCTAGATATTGCCAATAAATTAAATACACACAAACAGCTTTTACATGGGTTAAAGAAATGATGAGAGGCTTAATAAGATAATAGTAAGTTAAAACTACAGGAGAAGCTTTCATTAAGCAGCTGGTGAAAAACAATATAATAATAAACCACAATTTGTTAAATATTTTATATTATAATAATGGTACTTTTATTGTAATTAATGCCTTTCCACAAAGAAGTGTGGAATTAACATGTCACTGGTTTTGATTATATTTAATAGAATATTTGATTTTGATTTAATAGAATTTTTACTTAAATCACTTGCAAAGATGAATAAGCTTTGGGAAAATTCACTTTTAATTTGAAAGCAGAATATATTTCTTCCTGATTAGAAAAGAAATCTCTGCCATTTGATAAGAATTCTCCATTTCATATTCTTTTCCCATATTCTTTTTATTCTTCATTGCAGTTGACAGAATTTTACCATCTTTCTGAGTGGAACATATTGTATCATTAATGGTGATTACACAGGACTTTATGTTGTGTTTGAATGGATTCATTTAAAAAATACCAGTTCACTTTTTGGATTTCACTAGCTCTCTTAAATAGTCTAAGAAAGTAATTAACAGAACAAATATAAGTATTATCTAACATCTCAATATGTTGACTTATAGTTAAATGGACAGTTATCAATAAAATTAAATTCCACACCACAGAATATAATGCATGTTATATTTCTCTTTACTACCTTTTCAGCTCTCACACAGAATGGTTATTGTATATTTGAGTTTAAAGACGTATTCTTCAATCAGCAGCTATTTATATCCTTGTCATTTTGTTAGGCTGGTAAGATAGTAAATTCAGGGTCAAAATTTGGCTGATTATTGTTCTTTAAATAATAGACAAATATTATGTTTGCATGTATGCCTATATGTAACTTTTTTTTCACTTTGCTGTTCAATGAAAATGGAAAAAATATACATGTAATTCAGTCAGGGTCTCCATTTCCTTTAGTTCCTTTTCTGGAGATTTGTTCTGTTCTTTCATTTGGGACCCGTTTTTTGGTCTCCTCATTTGAGCTGCTTTCCTGTGTTTGTTTCTATGTATTAGGTAGAGATGCTATGTCTCCTGGACTTGGTAGAGTAGCCTCCTGTAGTAGGTGTCCTGTAGGGTCACAGCCTACCCAGTCACTTGAGCTGGGTGCTCTAGGTGCGACCCCCCTGTTGTAGTTGAACCTTGATTGCTGTTGGCAGGTCACTGGGAGGGATTGACCCACGGGCTGATTCTGCTGCAAGACCAGCTGTGACTATAGCAGAGGCCAGTGGTCTGATTTTTATAGGTGAGAAGGAACTGAGAAACTGAATGACTTGACTGAGATTGATTAATTATTGTCAGGTTTGATATAATAATCCTGGTCTTCAATAAGTCTTCTTTCTATATTCCATGCTGTTATCATATGTTAATTTTTTTCTTTGAATAATTTTGCCTTGAATTTTCTTGTACATTTACTTGAGAAGATAAGACTTTTGACAAATTATTTGTTATGATGCCTGTGACTTCTCAAAAAGATGGATCCACAGTGTTTCTTTTTGCACTTGCTTATTTACTCATTGAATTAAATATGTGATGAAGGTGAAATAGCACAAAAAAAGAGGAGCTTGGAGAATGTCATATTAGCATACTCTAATAACATCCTATTTAATAAAGAGCTAATATGCTAATTAGACCAAACAGCAGAACAACCGTCTGGATGACCTTCTGGAAGAAGCCAGGGCTGCGAGGGCCGGCCAAGGCAGGCGGGGCTGCGAGGGCCCAGCCCCTTGCATGAATTTCATGCATTGGGCCTCTAGTGTATATTAGTAATATGACAGATCTTAGTTATATACTCTTTTAATATATCCAATTACTGGATAATTCCTGGAGAGATGATGTGTGTAGGATATTCTGAAGTGTAACACATGATAAATTTCAAATTCTGAATTTTCATATAGCCATGTGGGTCACAGTAAAAATTAAAACACCTCCCTGAAATGAGAAATGTCTTTTAAAAATCAAATTCATTCCAATAAACAAAACTTACTGTGAATTTTGCATGTTTCACAAAGATTTTGTTATAATCAGCTATTATAATTTCTTCAGTGATGACTTGAAATTGAGTATTGAAAAACTAGTTTTCTATACTCTGTTCTACTAGTTGACCTGATGAAATATTAAAGCCATTAGTAATTACAGTTAATCAACATCATGAATTATTCTTACAGTTATTTAATCATAGGCTTTCTTTCATCACTGTACATGTTTTTCAATTTTTTCCTCCATCTCTTCGCTTCCCTGCATCTAATTTTTATTTTGCTATTGGTAGAAATGTAGAATAATCTTACTATGATCATATCTAAAACATTATTAGTCAAATATGCTTTAAAGGATGTATCCCAAAACCAAATACATTATGTAATGAATCTTGATGATACCCACTGTGCTTTCCCCCCTCCTTCTCTCCCTCCCTTACTTTCTCTCTCCCTCTCCTCCCCCTTCCTCTCTTCCTTTCTTCTTTCCTCCTCTTTTCCTCTTCCTCTTTCTGAGGAAAGAAAGGAAACAAGTTGTAGAAGATAATTCTTTGAACAAAAAGCAATTCTAATAGAACTATATTATGGGGGGACTGCATGAGAAACAAAGGAGAGAAAGGATTGAGGGACAAGATGCCATGGATGGGTTTTAATGGTGTAAAGGAATGAGAGACTCATAGGACTTTAGAGATATTAGAAAATAAGAGAGCCCAGCCCGCGTGGCTCAGTGGTTTGAGCGTCAGCCTATGAACTGGAATTCCCCGTCAGGGCATATGTCCAAGTTGCGGGCTCGATCCATAGTGTGGGATGTGCAGGAGGCAGCCGATCAATTATTCTCTCATCATTAATGCTTCTATCTCTCTCTCCCTCTCCCTTCCTCTCTGAAATCATTAAAAATATATTTAAAAAAAAGAAAATAAGAGAGAACACCTGATTTTAATAAGTTGCTTTGTATTAATACTTAGACACCACTACCGTCAATCCCCATGCTTACATAATTTATGAGTAAAAGCTGGAATTCTCATCTATCCACACATGTTTAAATGTGATTCTGATCAGAGTGTGGGCTAGGAATATGGCTTTGTGAGTATAAAATTATTTGTTCATTTAATTAAAATAGGAATCTAAAGGCCAAATGTGTTGACATTCAAATTTTTATTGCTTTTTTATATCTGATTCTGTCTCAGTCATTAGGTCTCAGTTAAAATATTATCTTCACGGATAAAAAATGTATAGTATGTCACCTTTTATCTAAAAAGAGAGGACACATACATACGTATGTGTATGTGTGTGTGTCTATATACACATTCACACCCATCAGTTTATATTAAGAAATAATGGGAGGATAAATTATGAAATAAATTCTCCAAAGTGATTACACCATTTTCAGTGCCACTACAGTGTTAGAGAATTTCATTTGCTCCATATCCTCCCCTGGTGCTGTTAGTCTTTTTGATTTTAACTGTTCTGGTGAGTATGAAATATTATATCATTGTGATCTTAATTTACATTAAATCATGCTGAGCCCTTTTACACATACCTATTTGCCATTCTTATATCTTCTTTGTGAAGTATCTATTCACTCTTTTGCCCATTGAGAGGGAGCTATTAGTCTACTTATTTTTGATTTGTAGGAATTTGTATATATGTATTCTGGTATCCTCTTATACTATTTGAAAATAACTAACATAAGGATATATGTAGATATGTGTATAGAAAATATTGATACATTTAATATTTCTAAACTGGCAATTTCAGAAGGAAATTAAATTAATTAGTATTTAAAACACAGACTTTATAGTTTTAAATTTAAAACAAAAATTACATTCTTTTCTGTTTTTGGTTTCAGGTGCAGTTAAAAACTAGCATTTCTAGTCAGTACGTAATTCGGGCGCAACCAACTAATAGGTGCCTGTCTACACTGGAGTGTGCAGCTGTTGCTCTTTCCATCTTAGAGAAAAATAATTACATACAAGAGGTAGGTATGTCTTTGAAAGATTACATAGTTTTTGAAAATAAGATTTTGATTAGATTTTATCTAGAAAAGTTAGAAATACATAGCTTGTTAAGTTTGTAGCTCAAGTGACAAGTAGAATGTATCTGTGATAGAAGTTTGTGGCCCTGGCCAGTGTGGCTTAGTTGGTTGGATCAGCCACCATTAGACCAAGGATCCATTAAAAGTTCAAATCTTGAAGGGAAAATATATTCTTTGTGTATAGATGTAGAACTTATTTCCTTGCCCTGACCAGCTGGCTCAGTTGGTCAGAGCATCTTCTTGTATACCAAAAGGTTGTGGTTTTTATTCCAGGTCAGGGCACATAGGTTGGTTCGATCCCTGGTCAATTGATGATATTTTTCTCTCACATTGATGTTTCTCTCTTTCCCTTTGTATGTATGTATGTGTATGTGTATGTGTGTGTGTGTGTGTGTGTGTGTGTGTGTGTATCTCCTTTCTTCTCTTTCTCTCTACCTCTTCCCTTTTTATAAAATCAATAGAAACATATCCTTGGCTGAGGATTATGAAAAACAATAAAACTTACTTTCCTCTCCTTCTTTTGGGTTCTAAAAAGAATCCTCTTGCCAAAACCGGTTTGGCTCAGTGGATAGAGCATCGGCCTGCGGACTGAAAGGTCCCAGGTTCGATTCCGGTCAAGGGCATATACCTGGGTTTCGGGCACATCCCCAGTAGGAGATGTGCAGGAGGCAGCTGATCGATGTTTCTCTCTCATCGATGTTTCTGACTCTCTATCTCTCTCCCTTCCTTTCTGTAAAAAATCAATAAAATATATTTTTAAAAAAATAAAATAAAAAAAAACAAATAAAAAGAATCCTCTATGGAGGTATATCTCTTACTCTCACAATTGGAATTTGATCTTCACTGCAATCCCAAACAGAAGCTTTAATGTTGGTAGTGATGTTGGTTTAATAATAATAGTTGTAAAATAATAGGGCTGGGGTTCAGGATGGGGTTTATATTAGTACTACTACTAAATGCTGCTACTGCTGCCCCCTTTCCCGGTTTTATAAGATAGATTATTCTGGTATTAATTAATGTACCATGATAGCAGGAAACCTATCTATGTTCTGAGTATAATATCTAACAACAGGCAAAGTTTAAGATATAGAATGATGACATGATCTTTCATCTCTTCAGTTTTTGTTATTGTTATCTATGAATAAAATTGAAAGTAAAATCCCAAAGTAATAGTCTCATTCTCTTTGCTTTTTCAGCAGTAGTAGGAAAAGGATGTTTGACAATCAGACGTGTGATCTGGGAGGTACTAATGAAATGGTTGGTTAAAGTATGAGCAGAAGAAATGCAAAATGAAACATCCTAAGTTGCTTATTACTGCAGATGGCAAAAATGTAGCTTGCTTAGTGGGGGCACCCCAAGTCCAGCCTGTTCAGATCTAGCTATCATAAAAAAATTGGTACATTCTTCTGAGAAACATAAAGGTGTTTTCTCTTTTTCCTTTGCCAACCCTTCCCCCCACTCATAACCTTTAATTAATGGCATCGTTATAGAACCTTAACATGATGGGGGAGAGTAGTAATTTTTCAGCCTGCTTCATTCTATAGAGGTAGGGCTCCTCAAAATAATAGCCTTCTTAGTTTGTTGATTTATCCTCATCCTTTATTCTTGAGTAGTTTTTCAAACACTTGGAAGTCTAGCATGATAGGAGCTTTGAAGCAGGTTTGACAAACCCTTGGAAGTCTAGCATGATAGGAGCTTTGAAGCAGGTTTGAAATAAAACTTCATCATTTATCATCATTATTTTTTGCCAGTGGGCAATTCATGTAATCTCTTAATGCTTATTTTCTTATCTGTAATATAAGAAAATTAATTACCTCATAGTGTTGTGAGAATTGAATGGGATAAAGTGTAATTGCCTGACATCAGGCACTCAAAATAATTAATTCTTTTGCCCTTCCTTGTCCCTCTGATAGGATTGACAAAAATTTTGAACTGAAAATTGGTGATTTTCATCAGCTGCAATAATATTTACCAGGGTTTTCATACCTTGGAAATCTTGAGCTTGGGAATCTTTTTTATTATAGCACCCTCTCTGCTTATGAAGTTTGACCTTATGAACTTTTATAACCAGATGTGGCCAATCTTTGTGCTGTAGCCTAAGTGCCTTAGCTACACTCAGCACCAGCAGTTGGTAATAATGGTCCCTTGAAAACTCACTTTGTACCTATAGATAAAAGGATTTACAAAACACTGATTTTCCCCCAAGTAACCTTTTTAGAAACTATCTTGTTTATTTTATAAATAGAAGATTTTCTTTGTTCCTGATATCTGGTCCATCTCTCATAAAGCTTCAGAGTGCCTCAGATATAATGCATATAATGTTATATCTGAAGAAATCTGAAACACTGATTCAAAATGATATATGTACCCCTATGTCTATTGCAACATTATTTACAACAGCCAACATTTGAAAGCAGCCCAAGTGTCCATCAGTAGATGAGTGGATAAAAAAGCTGTGGCACATTTATACAATGGAATACTACGCAGCTGTAAAAAAGAAAGAAATATTACCTTTTCAACAGCATAAATGGACCTGGAGAGCATTGTGCTAAGTGAAATAAGCCAATCAGAGAAAGACAAGTATCATATGATTTCACTCATGTGGAATCTAATGAACAAAATAAACTAACAAAATAGAAGCAGACTCATAGATAGAGAACAGACTGATAATTGTTAGTGGGGAGGGAGGTTGCAGGGCTGGGTGAAAAAGGCAAAGGGATTAAGAAAAAAGCCCCCACAAAAAACAACACCTCATAGACACAGACAATAAAATGGTGATTACAAAAAAGGAAGGGTAGTAGTGGGGGGAGGTAAAAGAAGATAAGGGGGATAAATGGTGATGGAAGGAGATTTGACTTGGGATGGTGAACACACAATAAATTATGTAGGTGATGTATTTTAGAATTTTATACCTGAAACATAATTTTATTATTTAATGTCACTCCAATAAATTCAATTAAAAAAATAGGCTGGATTAGGCTCCAGTAACTTAAAAATCCAATATTAGAATGGCATAATACAACAACGGTGTATGTCTCTCTCACACTGCCTGTCCATTGGGATTGCCAGGCGATCTCTGCTCATTGAAGTCACTTAGGGAACCAGGCTGATGGAGGCACTATCTAGACATGTCATTCCATTTTCTTCAAGGAAGGAATAAAGGGAGGTGGTCAATCATATACTGCTTTTAAAGCTTCTGCCCAGAGGTGGCATATGTTCAGGAGGTAAAAGTTAGAATGGCATAATACAACAACGGTGTATGTCTCTCTCACACTGCCTGTCCATTGGGATTGCCAGGCGATCTCTGCTCATTGAAGTCACTTAGGGAACCAGGCTGATGGAGGCACTATCTAGACATGTCATTCCATTTTCTTCAAGGAAGGAATAAAGGGAGGTGGTCAATCATATACTGCTTTTAAAGCTTCTGCCCAGAGGTGGCATATGTTCAGGAGGTAAAAGTTAGAGGCTCTTGACCAGAGGAATATAGTATTCTCCTGTCTATGCAGAATTTAATAAATTCCATAAAATTGCAATAGAACCTTCAATTGTCTCAGTCTATACATAATCCTAGATATGTTTCCTAAGTACAGTGATGCAAAATCCAATCAATCCACTGTGCTAACTCTGTAAAGTAATATATAGTCATCTTCAAATTTCCTGTCTTGTTTGAAGAAATGAAGATGTTAAAAGAAATTATAAGAACACCAGGGGCCCAGTGCATGAATTGGGCTGCTTGAAAGGAACTGTGGACCATTAGGCTGTGGTAGGCACAGGGGCAGGTCTCGGCCCATCCTCCGCACCCCTGCCCAGCCCCTCCCGCCACGGCGCCTGGTCCCCTCTCTACCGGCAGCCCCGCTCCCGCCACTGCCACTCACACACGCAGACGGTGCCAGCCCCGCTCGCACCCGCTGATAGCACAGAGTGATTGGGGCCAGCACCAGCAGCGGGTGTGAGCGGGGCTCGTGCCATCAGTGGGTGCAAGCAGCGGCTGCTGCCCTAATCACCCCTCAGGAGCAGGGGGAGGTAGAGAAGCCCTCAGGGGTGATCAGGGCCGGCAGCTGCCACTGGTACCCATGATGGCACCGAGTGATCAGGGCTGGCACCAAACGCCAGCAGCGGGTACAAGTGGGGCCTCACCAGCAGCAAGTGTGAGTGCCAGGTGAGACCATGGTGCACGGGAGCCAAGAATTTTCAGTAACCACCAGAGGCTCGCCCCAATGACAGCAACTGGCGCTCCGCCTTCGTCTGACGCCCCTGCTCACCTGCTCCACCATCCTGCTGAGGCTGACACCCGCCACGTTCCCTGCTCTGCCACCTGTTGCAGACACCCACCATGTTCCGCGCGTGCCCCCTGGTGGTCAGTGCATGTCATAGCAACCGCTTGTTCGGTTCTGCTGTTCAGTCTATTTACATATTAGGGTTTTATATATATAATATATATCTATATCTATCTATCTATATATATCTATATTTATCTATTTATATATATCTATATATAGATATAGATATATATAGATATAGATATATACAGATATATCTATATTTCTCTCTCTCTATATATATACATACACACACACACACACACACACACACGCACACACATATCTAAGGGTCTTTCTACAACAGTGTCATGCAGAGCTTTTCCAGGATATTTGTCTTATGTAACAGAGCACTTACTGCAGTGGTTGAACCATATAGCAATTTCTTTTCTCCTGTAAATAAGAAATGCTGAAGTGAGCAGTCCAGGGCTGGTGATGCATCAGAGACCCAGGTTTTTTTCCTGCTTTTCTGTTCATTATCATATATATTTTTGGTTTAATCTTCATGTTTCTTGCCCTGTAGTCAGAAGGTGGTTATTCCATTTCTAACAATCATGTTCCAGTCCAGAAGAAAGAGCAAAAGCCTCTGTCTGCTAGGTCTGTCCTGTTTTAAAGAGAATCCCTGGGAGCCCCACCCAAAGACTTCCACTTACATCTTATTGGATAGACTGTGTCATTACCCAATGTCATATCACTAGCTGGACACATTGCCACCTTGAATACAATTTTTGATTTTTTTAACCAGTTAACCGCCATGTGTCCAAAACGGAAACCATCCCCACACACCACGATATTTTGAATTTAAAAAATCAGTTTGCAATGAATATTATAAAAATAAACATATTACTCACAATTTGGGTGTTCTTGAATATTTTCAGTTGAAAATTCCCATGAAAAATGATTTTTTAAAGCATCTATAGATGCTTATGGTGTACAAAAGGCTTAATAAGGAAGAAAAGAATGGATATGAAGAAGCAACTACTAGTGACTGCTAAAATTTGTAAGAGTTCATTGCATATTAAAGCTGTTAAGAAGCCCTTTCTACCACTTGTGTTATATATGTGGGGAAATAATTTTTCACACAGACATTTTAAAATTTTTATAGTTTAATCTGAGTTTTTTTGTTATTCCTTTTTTTTAACTGTTCAATCAAGTGTTGCTATTATTATTTAAAAGAATTAGATCAGGGATCTCAGGCTTAAGGAAAGAATCTGACTCAAAATATGATTAAAACTGAAATCTCTATATGGTATAAAGCACTGGTATAGTGTTTTTACTTAAAATTTTTAAAAATTTGCATAACTTTAGGAAAGGTATATGCTCCAGTTGTTTACAACCTCTACCACTCTCTGTTATCCTATGGATCCACCCAGTTCACATGCATCTGTTAAATGGCTGCCCTGTAGGTATTTAAATTGGGCTGGTATGTTTACGGTTAGAATTATTTTGAATGCACCAAAACCTGGTGTCTGACTGGCATGTGGTCCATGTACTAGTCTGCATTAGTCAACCACTTACCCATCACTGCCATCAGCTAATTGTTATTAGATAGCAGGAAGCTTGTATCTTTCTGTTATTGAAAATGAATCAATTTATTTTTATTAACTAAAGGTCTCTTGTCTGTTTGTTACAGATTAAATTATTATAATGGCAACACTTTTGTGGTGTTTGAATATCTTAATGTATAAAACTAAATCTAAGCTTTATCACCTATATGGAAAATCAATTTGTGTCTTTTTACTGGAGTTACTTGGTGGTATGTAAGGTATGAATTTAAATAAATTGCTTATTTAGAAATCCCATATATTTATTAGAATACTTGTTGCTCTTCATAGTTAAAAGCTAATAATAATAATGATAATTAAGGTAATAATGCTTGTTTCTGAAGGAGAAATCTAGATAGAATGTCATAACTTGTCACAGACACATTTTTAGTTTTTTTTTCTTTTTTATCTTAACAGACTTTGCTTCGCCCTCTTCGAGCTTTATGCTCTTTCCAGCTTCAGCATGGTGCTCAAATTCGCCTCAGCAAGGAACACCTTCTGAAAAATGGATTATATCCTAAGCCGATGCCAAAGAACAAACGCAAACTCAGGAAGATGCAACTGTTAATGAACAGTATTAAAATTTAGCACAAATGTTCTTATGGTGCTATTTATGGTGTCTTCAGCTGATAGTACCAGCTTAAGTTTTCATACAACTTAAGTCTGTGTGGTTTTTTGGTTGTTTAAAGAATGAGGGTTGCATACTAAAGGTGTCCAGAAGAAGGACGTAAATCAAATAGCCATGAAAGCAAATAAACAAGCAAAATTATACGACTCAGTAAAAAGCAAGATTTCATACTGTATTTGCTTTTAAAAATGTGCCTCTAATACATTTTTTCAAGTCCTTAATTGAAATGGGATTAGTTGTTAAGCTGGGTTAGAAGTACTTTTTTAAAATGGAAGGAAATCCTTGTGCCTGATTGGGACAGTAATGTTCCCATTACTGTTTTATAGATAACTAGTGGCCCAGTGCACAGAATTCGTGCACAGGGGGAGGGGGTGTCCCTCAGCCCAGTCTGCACCCTCTTCAATCTGAGACCCCTCGTTGGATGTCCGACTGCCAGTTTAAACCGGCAGTCGGACATCCCTCTCTCAATCCAGGACCGCTGGCTCTTAACCACTCACCTGCCTGCCTGCCTGATTGCCCCTAACCACTTCTGCCTGCCAGCCTGATCGCCCCCTAACTGCTCCCCTGCCAGCCTGATTGATGCCTAACTGCTCCGTTGCAGACCTGATTGCCCCCAACTTCCCTCCCCTGCTGGCCTGATCGCCCCCAAGGCTTTTATTAGTATAGATAATATACACATTCAAATGTACAGATGTATCAGGCCGGCAGGGAAGGCCTATCGTGCAAGAGTAGGCCTTCCTTCCCCCAGCTGCCAACACTGGGTTCTCTCTGGCACCGGGGAGGGGCTACCCTCACAGCCCTGGCTTCGTCTGGAAGGATGTCCAGTCTAATCAGCATATTACGCTTTTATTATTATAGAAGTATAAAATCTCAGGGCATTTGCTTGAAATTTCTTGAAGCAAACAATAGAAATCAATTGCCAAGTTCTGAGAATCCCAGAACGTCCCAACTCTGATAGCATTACATTGCTAGGTCAAAGTCCTTGATCTGCCCAAACTGCAGTTTCCATTCTGCATTACCTGTACTCCTTCTTCACCTTTGCTTGCTTCAGAATGGCAGCTTGCCAATAATTGTCAAGGTCTCCTAGAAAGTGCCTATACTGGAGGGGCATCCACTTTACTTTGAAGATGCACACATGATTTTGTCTCATTTCCAGCTCCTCCTTTCACCATCTAGTACAGCAGTTCTCAACCTGTGGGTTGTGACCTCTTTGGCGGTCGAACGACCCTTTCACAGGAGTCGCCTAAGACCATCCTGCATATCAGATATTTACATTACGATTCATAACAGTAGCAACATTACAGTTATGAAGTAGCAACAAAAATAATTTTATGGTTGGGTCACAACATGAGGAACTGTATTTAAAGGGCCAGAAGGTTGAGAACCACTGATCTAGTATTTTTGGGGTGGTCGTCCATTGCCACATGCCCAGCCTTCAGAGCTGAACAGAAGCTTTCCACCCAGACAGTTGTGGATTTAGACCCTGAGTCTACCTCTCCTTATCTGGAAAATAAAGTTTAAAAAAAGCACACATCTATTTTATAACGTTCTAATGATAGGGATAAAGTGTCTAATGTGTGAATGATGCTTAAAGGTGACAGATCAGTACAGTAGCAAAGAGCTTATCTTTTTTGGGTGAGTCTGGTTTTCAGGGAGTTGGGCCCTTTAAGGGGTCATCATCCTAGTTTCCTATGCAAATCGTCCCACCTATCCTGGAGCGAGAGGCAGCGGCCCTCTAACCTGGAACTGATGGCCATGCTCCGCCAGTGCTGCCAATCCGCGTCCTGGAAGAAGCGAGCCTACGGCATGTGAGCAAGTGAGTGAAGGCGGCGCTGCCTGCAGGTGGCAGGTGCAGCTGAAGCCTGCCATTCCCCACCTCTCCTTGGAATTCTTCCAGAGGAGGTGGGCGAGGTGTGTGCGGCCACACTGCTCTTTGAGCATCCATTTCCCAAATAGGGGCTCCCCATTCCCCACCGCCCGCGCCCCTATGTGGGCTGGGCACTCCATCCGCACACAGCGCCCTGCTGCAGTGCCCAAACTGGATGTAGCATCCCCATCCCACTCCTGTCCTTGCCCGTCGCCTCCGAGGCCGGGGTGTGGCTGGAGGACTCCAGTGGGGTGGCCGCTCACGCTGCTTACTCTCGCTGGGGCGACCCAGGACACCAAGCCTTCCCACCCGCTCTCCCGCTCTCTGGCCGGCTCCGTGGCTCCGGCTGGCGCTGCCATCTTTGTCGAGTCAATTTGCATATTCCCTCCTTACTGGCCGTGGGCGCCGCCATCTTTATCATGAAGTGACGGTTAGTTTGCATATTACTCATTAGATAGGATTAGGTGTAGACCTATAATAGATGATACCTCCATCAATTTGCAATAGTATACATGGACTTTATAGTTTAAAATAAGTAACAAAAATGATAATCAAGTAGTTTAGATTGAATTTATTTCATAAAACTATAAGAAATAAGGAAACTAAGTATTTTTAGGGATTAAACTTGAACTCAGTTAATGTGATTAAATGTTCTATTAATGCCCATACATTTTTTTTTATTATGGTTTAATTGACAAAATATTAGTTTAGGTATGTAATGATTTGATATTTATATATTGTAAAATGGTCACTGCAATACATCTTGTTAACATTCATCACCACACATAGTTTTTTCTTGTGATGAGAACTTCTAAGGTTTGCTATTTTTTAAAAATATATTTTAATTGATTTAAGAGAGGAAGGGAGAGGGAGAGAGAGTTAGAAACATCTATGACGAGAGAGAATCATCAATCAGTTGCCTCCTGTATGCCCCACACTGGGATCAAGCCTGCAGTCTGGGCATGTGCCCTGACTGGGAATTGAACTGTGACCACCTGGGTCACAGGTTGATGCTCAACTATTGAGCCATGCGGCTGGGCCTAAGGTTTACTTCCTTTGCAGCTTTGAAATATTCAGTACACTATTATTAACTACTAGAGGCCCAGTGCATGAAATTCGTGCACGGGTAAGGTCCCTAGCAGCTGCAGGCTGCCAGCTGACAGCTGGGGCTTTCCTCCCCTGGCTTCCGGCTGCTGGCTGGGGCCTCCCTTCCCCAGCTGCGGCCTGCCAGCTGGGGCCTTCCTTTGTTCCGTGCCACCCCCTGGTGATCAGCGCATGTTATAGCGAGCGATCGAAATCCTTAGGGGACACTTTGCATATTAGGCTTTTATATATATAGATAATCATCAAACTGTACATTATATCCCCATGACTTATTTATGTTCTAACTGGACGTTTTTACCTTTTGATCCTCTTCACCCATTTGCCCCTAGCCCTCCCCCCAAAAAAACTTCATCTGTGGCAACTACTATTCTCTGTATCTATGAACTTTTTTTTTTATGATTCCACATATAAATGATATCATATGGAATTAGTCTTTACCTGACTTGCCATAATGCCCTCAATGTTTATCCATGTCACAAATTGCAAGATTTTATTCTTTTCATGGCTGATTAATATTCCATTTGGAGATCATATATATATATATAATATTTTATTTATCTACTGATGGACACTTAAGTTGTTTCCATATGTTGGCTATTGTAAATAATGCTCTGATAAACATGGGGGTGCATATATCTTTTTGAGTTATTGTTTTCATTTTCTTCAGATAAATACCCAGAAGTGGAATTGCTGGATCCTATGGTAGTTCTACTTTTAATTCTTTGAGGAACCTCTATACTGTTTTCCACAGTGGCTGCACCAATTTCATTCCACCAAGAGTGCACAAGTATTCCCTTTTCCTCACCAAACTTATTTCTTGTCTTTTAAATAATAGCTATTCTGACAGGTGTGAGGTGTATCTTATGGTGTTTTGTTTTGTTTTTAAAGTGGAACATTTTTTTTAAAAATATTGTTTTTTATTGATTTTAGAGAGGAAGGGAGAGGGAGAGAGAGAGATGGAAACATCAATGATAGGAATCATTGACTGACTGCCTCCTGCACGCCCCCTACTGGGGATAGAGCCTGCAACCCGGGTATATGCCCTTGACCAGGCGGGACCCTTCAGTCTGCAGGCCGATGCTCTGTCCACTGAGCCAAACCAGCTAGGGCTTATGGTGATTTTGATTTGAATTTCTCTGATGGTTGGAGATGTTGAGGATCTTCTCATGTACCTGTTGGCCATTTGTATGTCTTCTTTGGGAAAATGTCTATTCAGATGCTCTACCCATTTTTAAATCAGATTGTTGTTTAATTTTGCTATGGAGTTATATGAATTCTCTATATATTTTGGATATTAGCTTCTAATAAGATATATGCTTTGCAGATGTTTTCCCCATTCAGTAGGTTACCTTTCATTTTGTTGATGGTTTTCTTTGCTGTGCACAAACTTCTTAGTTTGATGTAGTCCTACTTGTTTATTTTGCTTTTGCTGTCAGATTAAAAAAAATATTGTCAAGACTGATGTCAAAAAGCTTACTGCCCATGTTTTCTTCTAGGATTTTTATAGTCTCAGGTCTTACATTCAAGTCTTTAATCCATTTTGAGTTAATTTTTGTATATGGTGTAAGATAGTGCTCCAGTTTTATTCTTTTTTGTATGGCTCTTCAGTTTTCCCAGCATCATTTATTGAAGAGCCTGCCCTTTTACACATTGTTTATTTTTGCCTCTTTCGTTGGCCCAGGGAGGAATGGTAGAAACTCTTCTTGCAACTGATAATTTGTGCCCTTTGATCTATATCATCCTATTTCCCCCTACTCCTATCCCTGGCAACCACCAAGCTATTTTGTTTCTTTGACATTGGCTTTTTTTTTTTAGATTCCTCATATAAGTTGTCTTTCTTTTTCTGGCTCACTTAGCATAAATGCCCTTTGAATTCATTTATGTTGTTGCAAGTGGCAGGATTTACTAGTACTTCTCATTTATGGCTGAATAATATTCCATTGCATACATTTACCACATTATTCCATCAATTGAAGGACATGTAGGTTGTTTCCATATCTTGGCTATTGTGAATAATCCTGCAATTAACATGCCAGTGCAGATATCTCTTCCAGATTCTGATTTCATTTTTTTTTCTCAAATATATGCACAGGAGTGGGATTGCTGGCTCATATGGTATTTCAATTTTGAATTTTTTTTGAGGAACTGCCATGCTGTTTTTCTTAATGGCTGTTCCATTTTACAATTCCAGCTACAGTGTATAA